CCTCCCTTTCTCCCTCTCCCTCTTCCTCTCCCTCTCCCTCTCCCTCTCCCTTTCCCTTTCCCTCTCCCTGTCTCTGTCTCTCTCTTTCTCTCTCTCTCTCCCACTCCCCCCCTCTCTCTGTGTAGCCCTGGCTGGCCTGGAACTTAATATACAAACCAAACTGGCTTTAGACTCACACAGATCTACCTGTCTCTTGTTCCTGAGTGCTGGAATTATTTTTTGTCAACTGAATTGAATCAGATGTTTTCAAAATTCTGTTAATGGTTGAATGAAATCTATATTGTAGAATTTAAAATATATCCATAATTGAGGCTCTAAATTTCCAGCTCAGGAAGGATGAACTATAGTTTAGGTGTTGACATATCCGAATTCTTGGCATTTCATTCTGTCTCCTCTGACTGTTCAGTTCACAGAAGCGAAGCACTATCATGCCAAGCTGGTGAACATACGGAAAGAGATGCTGATGCTCCATGAGAAAACCTCAAAGCTGAAAGTGAGTGGGAAACCCTCGTCCTCCTTAAAGCCACAAGCTTGTTTTTCTTCAGTATTTGTTTTGACTTTTTGTACTTGTCTATACAGTAAGATATGAACTCATGCTACATTGTTCCCTTTAAACATAAAGTCCCGTGGCTCCTTCACCAGTCACTGGGCTAGTGGGCTCAGCTCTGCAGATGAACTTGCAGCTCACACTGACTGTGAGCTTGGAGCAAGGTTTATTTGAATTTTTCTTTTGTTTTAAACTAAGGTGACCTTAAATTACTCCAAATAAATTTTAAAATTAAATGTGGAATGTATTAATTTGTACTGAATAACTCAAGTCAAACATTTTTTTAAGTTATGCCATAAATGTGCCCTGCCCCTCTCTCTCCTCAGAAGAGAGCACTGAAGCTGCAGCAGAAGAGGCAGAGAGAAGAGCTGGAGAGGGAACAGCAGCGCGAGAGGGAATTTGAAAGAGAAAAGCAGCTGACAGCCAAGCCAGCCAAGAGGACATGAGGAGCCTGCTTTCAGGTTCCTGTCCCACCATGCTTCCTGGATCTCCAGTGCTGTACACAAGGAGCGAGGTGTGGATGGCGCCCTATGCTGTGGCATGTCCTGAAATCTTTGCCAGGGTTGCTGTGTCTCCAAGACTTCACTCAAGAAGCCTTGTTAATACTTAAGTTTTCAACTCTTGCTTAACCTTAACATTTCTTATTTTGATCTTAAATCATTTGTAAACTGAAAACACTTTGGTTATTACAAGAGTCTGGATACTAGTTCAAAATGAGTAGAAGGTCTGTGCTTCTTAAGAATCGATTTTAGTTTCAATTTCTCCCTTTCTGAGGACAGGCCTTTCCTGCACAGCCACACTGATGTTTGGGAATTGCTTTTTATTGCTTAAAGAGAAATACCAATTGTCTGATCACAAATCTCCCAGAAAGAGAGCTGCCAAGCTTCTGTGAAGAACATAGGAAGAGTGTGCACACTGGAAATACCAGCACCTTAGACGTAGGCTGGGAGTGGATGCCAGACAGGTTCTTCTAGCCAGTCTCCTCTGTTTTCAGTGTTGCTGCTGAAGTCAATTTTGGGTTCAGGGCAGGATTCTATCCATTCCTAAAGCAATGGAGCAATGGTGGACCTGCCAGATAGTCAGAGGTGTGTTTGTGTGTGTCTGTCTGTCTGTGTGTGTGTATGTGTGTGTGAGTGTGTGTGTGTGTCTCTGTGTGTGTGTGTGTCTGTGTGTGTGTGTTTGCATGTGCATGCTAAGTCATCACAATGTAACAATGTCTCTGTGCTTTTTTTGGTTTCTCTCTCTCTTTTTTTTCTAGAGACAGACTCTCTATAAAGCCCTGACTGTCCTGGTATTCACTGTGGAGACCAGGCTGGCCTCAAACTTAACAATCTACCTGCCTCTTATTCCCAAGTGCTGGGATTAAAGGTGTGCACCGCCATGCCTTGCTCTGGTTTTTAAGTAGAACAAAATCTGCTGCTGCTCACATCATATGTGAATAGTGTACAGAAGAGAGGACATGACACCTTTACTGTTTTCTAGAACTTTTTTCCTTCTTGTTGCATGTAGGAACTTACTCTGTAGGGCAAGATGAAGTCTCATTGTTTGAAATCAAGAGTGCAACAGTATACTTTTCTGTTTTAGTGTTTAAAAGGAAGCTCGTTTCTAGCCCCTACTATGAGTTAGCAGCATAAGCTACAAAGGTGTCTGATTAGAATGTGCATCTTTTATAACTATACTTTTAGTAAGCTGGAATTACTACCTCTGATCACATACTGGGTGATAGAGAGATCAATAGAGAGACCATTAAAGATAACCAGTGCTAAGAACTGTCAGCTTAAAAGCTTAACTGCTTCTTTGAAGGAGCCTTTTCCTTCTTAATGAATTGTGGTCCCACAGTCATTGATCTTGACTTCTGTTCAAGAATACAAACAAGTCTATTCGAAAGGCTGTTACCCTTAGTCACTTGCTAGCACTCCTAGAGCACAAGTCACTAGGACTTGCAGGACAATGCCATTACATTGTAGAATGTATTTGTTACAATAAAATATCAGATATCTGACGAAGGCTGGAGATTGCTTTTCATGCTGACGTTAGACCAGTGTTGTTGGTTGTTTCAAGTGCTCTTCCTAGACACTTCTGGATACTTCCTCAGTCTCTTAAAGAGAATCTGTTCTTTGTTTTGCTTAAAGTTTCTGCCAGTGATTCTGGTGTACCTTAAAGGATGAGACACTTCTGGGTCTGGTTGCCACTGGCAGGGTTTCCCACACTAAATAGCATGTCCTTTTCACCTGGGAACTTGAAGAAAATGCAGATATCCTCAGTTCTTACCCACTAGTTCTGATGTGGGGCCATAGATTTAGAGTGCTCCAGATTATTCTGATGCAAGGAACTGGTGGTTTAGACTATCCAGTGATTTACATTCCTAAGCAATGGAATAGTTTCAAAGCTACCCAGTAATTTGTGGAATTAATTTTAATAAATAAACTATTCACTCCTGCTTTTGATAGAATCAGATTTAAAGCTGAACCTTAGCTGGCAGGAAATTAAGAGTCCTAGTTAATTAATTGAACTTTTTGACCTGTATTAAAATAAATCATGTTTAACGAATGGATGGCAACGTGGCACATATGTTCTGAGAATTATATTAAGTTTTAAAGACTTTTTTTTTTTTTTTTGAGACAAGGTTTCTCTGTATAGTCCTGGCTGTCCTGCAATTTACTCTGTAGACCAGGCTGGCCTCGAACTCAGAAATCCTCCTGCCTCTGCCTCCCAAGTGCTGGGATTAAAGGCATGCCGGTGAGTTTTAAAGACTTTAACATATCAAAAAGATGGACTGGAGAGAAAGCTCAGCAGTTAAGAACACTTACTGCTTTTAGAGAGGACGGGGGTTATATTCCCAGCACCCACATGGTGGCTCACAACCATCTGTACCTCCAGTTCCAGGGGATCCAGTCCCCTCATCTGGCCTCTGTAGCATCAGACACAGATGCGGTGCACCTACTCACATGTAGACAAAGCACTCACCCACATAATAGAGAAATAAATCTATAAAATATTCATCATTACCTACCACTTGGAGGTCAGAGGTCAATCAGAAACACCATAGGTGATAAAACCCTAAAATTTTAGCTGTATTTCAGTAACATGGAAGCAGAATAACCAAACATGTACCCTTATAATAGTCTTGCTGTGTTTTTCAACAAATAGAAATTGGTCGAAAGAAAAGTTGCCTTTGTTTTGAAATAATATCAGCTATATATGGTGCTGACACATAGGGTGTTCATTTTGAGCTGGCTTTGTCATGAATATCATGTAAATGTGCAGACATTGAATGTAATAGACATGTGACCACAGTGAATTTTGGTGTGGATTCAGTTCACCAGTACCAATTGTATGCCCAAACACCTTTGTCTGATTTTGATTTTATAAGTGAAAGCTACTTTTATGAACCTAATAAAAATGTCAGAATCACCCAGTATCGTTTATTAGGCACAGTTTTGTACATAGCATTGTATATTCCTCTTTCTGTATATTTCTTCAGACATTTGTTTTACTACCTCTCCTGTATTGAATGTTCTTTGTTTCATATCAAAACAAAGCCAGTCCAGGGGCTGGACAGTTCTCAACTGCCCGTGCGGAGAACCCAGGTTTAGTTCCCAGCACCCTCATCAGGTTGTTCACAATCACCTGTAACTCCAGTTCTGAGGATCTGACACCTCTTCTGAGGTCTGTGGCCTCTTGCAGGCCTGTGGTACACATGCATGCACTCAAGGACACGGGCATACACATAGAAACAAATACTTGTTTTTGTTTTTTTTTAAAAAGTAATTACCAGTCCACTCATGAAATCCCACCTAGACAGGTGATGGAGGTGCCATCCAAGGCTGGGTGAAGTATCCAACTCCACAAAGTTAGCTTTTCTTTGAGAGTAAATAAATAACTATAAACTGGGCATGAGAGCACCATGGGTAATGGCTGGAGAGTTGAGAGTTTGAAGCTAGCCTGGGCTACAGCCTGAGGCCCTGTTAAAAAACCCAGAAGCCATCACTTTGGTGTGAAGTGCTTTAAGCCATAGCTCCCTGCGTAGATGCTGCCTCTGAATCGGAGAGTCCAGCAGGAGAGTACTGTAGGCTGCATTCAGGGTGATGGGTTGTCTTTGGAGAAGTGAGAACTGGAACTTTCTCTGAGAACTCTGTGTATATCTGTCAGTGTTGGCGCTATAGATCTCATCAAATTCAATGTATACTTAATACACATCATATTTCACCATAGCATGTATACTTTATTCCAAAGCCATGATTTTTAAAATTGAGCCTCCAAACATAACTATTCATATTTTAAAAGTTGTTCAGGTTCTACATTTTCTTTTGGATAAAGAGAGTTCCTGTGTTTTCTGTTATTGAGATCAAGCAGATGGGTAGCATTTGTTAGTTTAGTCATGTTCTGCCTGCATGCGTGTGTCCAGACTCCATCTAGCAGGCAAGGCAGAAACTCCATAGAAATGAGGCACAGGAATGGCAGTCATGGGGTTGGGTGCACTGTGGGGAGAGCTGGAGTGTAAATGGGGAGTCGGGTTGAGGGGAGATCTAAGCATCGTCTCTGAATAAGAGTGGCTTATAGATATGTAAAGAAAGGAAAATTCATCTGAAGATAAAATGGTAAAAGGCTGTTCTACGGTTGCTTTCCTATAAACTAAGGACTGTGGTCCACAACCATCCTTATTCCTTCCAACACCAGGGAGGAGAAAAGAAGGTTAGTGGGGAAAGGGGATGTAGGTCTCTTTAAACTACTTCCTGCTGATTCTGGATGCTGAGGTTTTTTTTGTTTTGTTTTTTTGTTTTTTTCTGTGTAGCCCTGGCTGTCCTGGAACTCACTCTGTAGACCAGGCTGGCCTCAAACTCAGAAATCCACCTGCTCTGCCTCCCAAGTGCTGGGATTAAAGGTGTGTGCCACCACTGCCCAGCGGATGCTGAGTTTCTTGAGGCAAGTGTAATCTTCATCTCATCAAGATATCACCAATGTCTTTTTCTTCCATTTATTTATTTATTTATTTATTTACTCATTCATTCACTCATTCATTCATTCACTTTACATCCCGATTAAAGCTCTCACCCTCCCGATATCCCCCTCTCCTCCTTTAAGAAGGGGGAGACTTCCCAGGGTACCAACCCACCTTGGCAAGTGAAGTCACTGCAGGACTAGACACATTCTCATCCACTGAGGCCAGACAAGGCAGCCCAGTTAGGGGAACAGAATCCACAGGCAGGCAAAAGTCAGGGACAGCCTCCACTCTAGTTATTTGGGGACTGGAATAAAGACCAAGCTGCTCATTTACTAAATACGTGCGTGTGGGGGGGGGGTGGGGGAGGTTGGGGAGCCCATGCTTGCTCTTTGGTTGGTGGTTCAGTCTCTGGGAGCCCCCCAAGGGTCCAGGTTAGTTGACTCTGTTGGTCTTCCTGTGGAGTCCCTATCCTCTCCAGGTCCCTCAGTCCTCCCCCCAACCCTTCCTCAAGACTCTCCAAGCTCCATCTAATGTCTGCATCTGTTTCAGTTAGCTGTTGGGTGGAGCCTCTCAGAGGACGGCTATGCTAGGCTCCTGTTTGTAAGCATGAGAGTGTCATTAATAGTGTCAGGGATTCCTTTTTTGCCCATGGGATGGATTTCAAATTGGGGCCATAAGTGGTTGGCCATTTCCTCAGTCTCTTCTCCATCTTTAGGACAGATTTTAGGTTGTTTTGTGGGTGGGTTGAGAGTCTTGCCTGGCTACAGGAGGTGGCCACTTCAGGCTCCATATCCCACACTGCTAGGAGTCTCAGCTAGTCTCACCCTCATAGACTCCCTGGAGCCTCTCCCATTTCAGGCCTCTGGTGTGTCTTAGAAACACCCCTCCCCCATTTCCATTCACTCTCCCCTCTCTCCCCATGTCTCCCCACATCTGGTCACTACCCCATTCCTCTCCACATCCCCTCTTCCACCTGCTTCTTCCCTCCCTCTACCTCTGACGACTGTTTCCCCTTCTGAGTGAGATTCTACCATCTTCCCTTGGACTGTCCTTGTTACCTAGCTTCTTCGGGTCTATCGGTTGTAGTAGCATGGGTATCCAGCACTTTATGGCTAATATCCACTTATAAGTGAGTACATACCATGTATGTTCTTTTAGGTCTGTGTTACCTCACTCAGGATGATATTTTCTAGTTTCATTCATTTGCCTGCAAATTTTATAATGTTCTTGTTTTTAGAAGCTGAGTAGTATCTCATTGTGTAAATGGACCACATTTTCTTTATGTATTCTTCGTTTGAAGGACGTTTCGGTTGTTTCCAGTTTCTGGCTATCACGAATAAAACTGGTAAGAATATAGTAGAACAGGTGTCCCTGTGGTATAGTGGGGGCATCTTTTGGGTATATGCCCAGGAGTGGTATAGATGGGCCTTGAGGTAGAACTGTTCCCAGTTTTTCTGGGAAACCACCAGATTGATTTCCAGAGTGATTGTACAAGGTTGCACTCCCACAAGCAAAGAAGAATGCTCTTTCTCCACATCCTCGCCAGTATCTGCTGTCACTTGAGTTTTTGGTCTTAGCCATTTTGATGGGTATAAGGTGGAATCTCAGAGTCATTTCAATTTTCTCGTTTCCCTGATGATGAAGGAGATTGAACATTTCCTTAAGTGTTTCTCAGCCATTAGAGATTACTCTGTTGAGAAGTTGCTGATTAACTCTGTGCTCCATTTTTAAATTGAGTTATTTGTGTTGTTGGTGTCTTACTTCTTGAGTTTCTTATATATTTTGGATATTAGTCCTCTGTCAGATGCAGGGTTGATGAAGATCTTTTCCCATTCTGTAGACTGTCATTTTGTCTATTGATGGTGTCCCTTGACTTACAGAAGCTTTTCAGTTTCATAAAGTCCCATTTATTAATTGTTGATCTTATTGCCTGAGCCATTGGTGTTCTGTTCAGGATGTTGTCTCTTCAACATTGGATCTACTTTCATTCCTCTATATGTAGACATTCAGTTAGACCAGCACTATTTGTTGAAGATGCTTTTTTTTCCCTCATTGTATGGTTTTGGCTTCTTTGTCAAAAAATCAAGTGTCCATAGGTGTGTAGGTTTATTTCTGGATCTTCAGTTCTGTGCCAGTTGATCAACCTGTCTGTTTCCATGCTGATACTATGCAGTTTTTATTACTATTGCTCTGTAGTACAGCTTTAACTCAGGGATGGTGATACCTCCAGAAGTTCTTTTATTGTATGGGATTGTTTTAGCTATCCCGGGTTTGTCTCTTTTCTCTTGACCACCAGCAACAGCAGCAGCAGGAGCAGAAACCGGCAGGAGGAACAGCTGCACCACTTTCCCCCCTCCCCGCCTCCTCCTTCTCTTCTGGAACTATTATCCTGCGAAGTTAACATAGTATTAAAATGACTCCAAATCAATTACATGGATGAGAGCGTCTCTCGCCTTCATCAGAGAAGCTTCTTGCAGTAGATGGCAGTTAGCACAGATGCCCTCCCCCACCGAAAAAGTCAGTGTGCAGAGAACAAGAGACTGTGGCAGGTTTAGGCACCAATGGGGGCACATACATCAAATCCTTCCTCACCAGTACTCTGGAATCTTTGTGGAAAAAAGGGCAAAAAGGTTGTAAGAACTGGAGGTGGTTAATAGCATCAAAGAAAGAGTGTTTTCCAGGCACAACGAGGCAGCAGTACCCACAGCAATCATGACAGCACAAGACTTACGCATGCTCCAGCCAGAAAGAAAAAAAAATCTCTGCACAGAGGACAGAGGGTAGGTTTGCTAATCCCTCCACTAGCTGAAGGGCCATTGGTATTTGATAGCTGCTGAAAGAGTCTAAGTTCAAAGATGGGCAGAAGTCCCTTTTCTTCAGGACCTCTCTCAGGAGAAAAAACCCTTGGTTGGATAAGCCCTTCTTCACCTTACCATGCACTCTGGAGGGTGACCTGCTGCCTGCAAATGGTATGCTCCGCTACAGAGGGAATCGACTGGGTGACATCTGAACAGGGCTGGGCAGTTTCTTGTGATTGCTGAGACTGTGACACATTTTGCGTGTATTCAGCACCAACACTGAGCTATGCTATTCCTGCTACCCAGGGGGAATGGCAAAGATGGGCTTCTCTGCTAAGGGAAGCAAACACCAACCTTCCCAAAAGGTGGGAGAACTTGCTGAGTGGCAACGTGGAACCCATGCCAGCAGGTCACAAATGTACATGTGCATGTGCGTGTGTGTGTGTGTGTGCGTGTGTGTGTGTGTGTGTGTGTGTGTGTGTGAAGACTGAGCCCAGGGTTTCATATATCCTAGCCAGATTCACCACTAAACTACACCTCTGGTCCCTCAGACTGGTTCTCTAATAACAGAAGGAAGTAAAGAATGGAAAGGACATCTAAGTTCTGGCCAGTGCTATGGACGAACACTGAAGATCTGTCTATGGACGTCTGTGAAGATCTGTAGCTCTGGGAACAGAT